TCGGCGGTCCCACCCCGACGGGAGGCTCGGAGCGCCGCGCGTACGGCGACCCGCGGATGCCAGACAGCAGCCCCGCGGCGCGGCCCACCGAGTAGTAACTGCGTCCTGCAGCCTGCCTGTACCACGCGAGGCCGCGTGGCGCCAGCAGCAGGCACAGCCCCAGGACTGCGACCACCAGCGTCGCGGGCCGGGCCATGGAGACGCGGGCGAGTGGCGTCGGGGTTCCGAGCAGCCGCAGCCCGAACCGCTCCTTATATCGCGCTGGCGGGGCTGGCGGAGGTGCAAGGGGCGGCGGCGCGTGCGGGGGTGCTGGGGCTGTGCGCAGAGGACCCGTCGCACCTCCTGGTCCTAGATGAAAAAGCCGCCCTAGAGGCGACGATAAGCAGCGCCTTGTGGGAGCCCAAGATCCCCTCATGCCTCCCACTCCCGCTGGCTTCGGGTTTCAAGCCCTGTTTAGGCTGGGGGGTGGCGTCTAGACCCTCCCAGGCCTCTCCCACTCACCGGGTCTGGCTTGGGTAGGGTCTCAGTGAGAGCAGTGGAGGATCACAGCTGGAAGCTCCCAACCACCCAAGAGTGTGCCAGCTGTAGGCATCACCCCAGGGAGTTCCCAGGGTTCCTGAGGCTGGAGCTCTAGTCACTGACCATACAGTGCCATGGGCAGTGTCCCACGCTGAAGGGAAACTGACCCAGGGCCTGGACCCAAGGTTTTTTGTTTGTTTGTTTTTTGTTTTTGTTTTTTGAGTTGGAGTCTCACTATCGCCCAGACTGGAGTGCAGTGGCCACTCCCGGCCACCACAGCCTCAACCTGCTGGTCTCCTGCGATCCTTCCGCCTCAGCCTTCCAAGTAGCTGGAACTACAGGCGCATGCTACCACGCCCAGCTAATTTTTTTTTTTTATTGTAGAGATGAGGTCTTGCTGCCCAGGTGGGTCTCGAACCCGCAGGCTCAGGCAATCCACTCACCTCAGCCTCCCAAAGGCGCAGGATTACAGGCTGAGCCACCGTTTGTTTGTTTTTTGAGTCAGAGTCTCACTCTGTCGCCCGGGCTGGAGTGCAGTGGCATGCTTATGGCCACCGCAGCCTCAGCCTGCTGGGCTCAGGCGATCCTTCCTCCTCAGCCTTCCAAATAGCTGGAACTAAAGGTACATATCACCACACCAAGCTAATTTTTTGATTTATTGTAGAAAGGTGGTCCCTCCAATCTGCCCAGGCTGGTCTCAAACCTCTGGGCTCAGGCAATCCTCCTGCTTCGGCCTCCCAAAGTGCTGGGATTACAGGTATAAGCCACCATGCCTGGCAAATAGGTTTTTTTTTTTTAGTCAGAGTCTCACTCTGTTGCCCAGGCTGGAGTACAGTGGCACACTCACGGCTACCCCAGCATCCACCTGCTGGGCTCCAGCAATCCTTCTGCCTCAGCCTTCCAAGTAGCCGGAATTACAGGCACATGCTACCACACCTGGCTAATTTTTGATTTATTGTAGAGACAAGGCTCAGGCAATCCACTCACTTCAGCCTCCCAAAGTGCTGAGATTACAGGCTGAGCCCCCAAGTCCAGCCAGTTTTTTTGTTTTTAAGAGATGGGTCTCACTATGTTGCCCTGGCTGATCTCAAACTACTGGGTTCAAGTGATCCTCTTCCTTCAACCTCTCAAAGTACTGAGATTACAGAAGTGACCCACCCACTCTGGCTATCAGCCCAGGGCTTCTTGATGACAGGCATCAGAGTCTGGGGGTGGGGGTGGGGATGTCATCTGTCTCATGCCCATGGGGAAAAGTTCTGGCAGCAATGCTGCTACTGGCTGGGTCCTCTGGGAGGAGGGCAGCACCTGCCTTAGAAACACCAGACCCAAGGCCCTGGCCTGAGATCTGGAGCCTATCCCTGCCTAGCTCTGCCCCCGGGTGGGTAGCCTAGGGCTCTGCCTACTTGTATGTGCCTTGAGCCCTTTCTGTTCACTCAGCAAACATTCTATTCACTCAGCACTAGGACCCTACCACTTGTGTAAGCACTCTGGTTACAGAGGAAGGAGACAAAATACTGCCTAGTGGGCAGTAAGACAGGCCCTGTAGATGAAGAGGATAGTCTCTAAGGGAAATGGAGCTAGCAGCAGGGGGAGAATGGGGATGGGTGCTCCCAGGGAGACAAAGTGAGAAGGCCTGGGAGATGTTTGGGGGGGTCCTGAAGCTTCTATGCCTACCTGGGGAAGGGGATGGGGGGGCCACAGGCTGAGGCTCTGACGAGGACCTTGCAGGGCCCAGTGCTTCCTAGAAACAAGCAGATGCTATGGGACCTGGGCTGTGTGTGGGACCTCTAGGCAGCTGAGGGTCCAGCTCCAGAGGAGACAGAGTGGTTCCTGAGGAAAGGATGCTGTTGGCACCTGGGAGTCACAGAATTTAAGGAACCCAAGAGGCCAGGAAGCCATGACGGATGCTGTGGTCACCTGGGGTTAAGGGGTACCATGATCCTTGTGGGTACTTCCTGTCACATGGGAAGAGGCTCGAGAAAGAATGAGGATGCAGAAAAGCAATTGCCCTAAGGAAAATGGAGCTAGTGGCAGAGAGTACTCCAGGGAGGGAAGGATGGCAGGGCACAGGAAGCCCAGATTTAGGTGTGGACCTGACCCCAGTGAGCTCAGGGAAAGCCGAGGAAGCTCTAAATCCATAGCTCCCTCTCTGCAGGTAACATCCCATCTCCAGCGAGGGTTGTCCTTCCCTGCAGAGCTGAGGCTCTTCCTGACTCCTCAGGGCTGGCCACAGTGCCCAGATCCAGAAACAATGTAGACAGCACAGAGGCTACAGAGTCTGCCAAGCGCTGGTCAGACGGAACTGTTTGCAGAGCTGATGGGAGTAACCCTGGAGGACACCAGGCAGGACCACCAGCCTCTCCCCTGGAAGGTGACATCAGCCATCAGGCTCCCTTGGTGGCACGCCCTCTCATGTCATGCTCTCCACCAGAACCCCAGGAGGGGCCGCCTTCCACCAGGAGAGACCATGAGCAGTGGCTGCCACTTTGCCCAGCCAGGGTCCCCAGAACTGGCCTGAGGGAGGGACCCAGGGCTCCCACCAGGCTTCCATCAGGCTTGAGGCCCGCTGATGAGCCCTGCCCCAGGCTCTGCAGTCTGGTCCTGCTTTTCTTCCGCCCAGAGCCGTGACTCAGGGTTTGATGAGAGCCTCGGTTGCGTCTCATTGAGATGTTTATTCATGAGAGTTTTCATATCAAAACACACCGAGGCCTCATCAATATGCCAAGAAAACAGGCGACCAGAGGCCTCCAGCAAGGTTCAGGTAGTTTAATGAGTTTTACTTATTGGATAAAAGTGTCAGCATTATGATGAAAAAACTAATGCAGCTCCAGTCCTCATCTCAACCCTGTCACAGCCCAGGGAACCATCTCCAGTGGAGACTGTGGCCACCCAGTCCCACCATGAGTGGGTCTCAGGATGTCCTCTCGAGGTGAGGGTGGGGGCTGAGTCCAGGCGCAGTGCTGGCGGCAGGACTCTCACTCCTTGAACTTCCACTCCTGGCGGCACATGGGGCAGTGCTGCTGCACCTGTTGTGCATGCAGCCACTTGAGGATGCAGTGCATGTGGAAACAGTGGGAGCACTGGCCCCACACCAGAGGGCAGTCATCGCCGGGCACCTTACCTACAGGAGGAAGAGACAGTGTGAGGAGGGCCAGCCAATGGGGACCTGGCCAGCACACAGAGCACATGACAAGTCCAGAGGGACCCAGGCAATTGCTTCCACCCACTATAGCCTCTCATGTTTCAGACAGAATCAGGAGTGTTACCCAGTCAGTCTCCTGAGTGGCCTGCCCCACAAAAAGATTCGCAGTGACCAAGGGATACCAGTGATGAGACACCATCTGGGGCAGCTGCAGCAGTTATTGCTTCTCACCTGGGCAAGTGACACCTAGAGGAGAGCCCAGGGGCCTCTCTGAGGAGGTGACATAGGGAGGAGGAGTTCTGACCTGGTCCACTAGGTGTCCCCTGTGCCTGAGAGGCTGGGGAGAAAGGACACCATCTGACCTACAGGCCCAGAGTCCATTTGCAGATACCGGATCTGTGATGCCAAGAAGGTCAAGGCACCAAGGAGACACTCATCTGAATAGTGAACTCCTCTCCTGATCAAGGGTAGGAAGGGTAGGGCCTCAGGACCTAGAAGATTCTTCCATCAGGAATCCAGTATACCACGAAGTTGGTGGGGACACTGTGGTGTTTAGGGGCTGGCTTCAGATGGGCCCTGTCAGCAATATGGCACTAGCTTCCAACTCCTCCTTGTCTGCAGATGGAAAGGATCCACATCCAGGGCTAGGGTAAGGCTGCTGGCACTGGTTCATGTGCTTAGAAAGCCTCCCCCATGGAGGAGGTGCAGAGAGGAACACTCTATATCACCCACAATCAAGAGAAACAAATGCCCATCGTGTCCAAGAACCTAAAAAACCCATGTAACAGCTGGACCCAGCAGAGCACAGCGACTGCCAGGGCCTCTGGTCCCATATCACGGTCTACCTGGCACCAAGGAGCTATAGCTTACTGTTCTATCCTCTCCTGGGGTGCCATCCCTATGTCACACCTGCTTCCAGCTCCCACTAGGTCCCCCGTGGGGCCTTTCCAACCTCAGTAGAACTGCCTGAAATCACCCCATTCAAACTGGAGTTGAAGTCTGCAAGGCCACTGATGAGAAGGGCCTGAGCCACTCTGCCTACTCGTGGGAGGGCTTACTTGGACGAAGGTGCTGCTTTACCCTAGTGACGTCCCTCACATGCAGCCTGCCCAGGGTGTCTGGTGAATACATGAATACACTGAGGGTGACTCACACAAGGACTTGCTAGTGCCTTGATATTATTTTTTTAATTAAGAAATCTCTCAACAAGACTGCACAGCTCCCAGAGCCCTCTGGATGTACAGCGGATTTATGACTGACTGCCCTCAGGCTCTCACAGCCTTTGCTGCACTTAGTCACTCTGCATTTTCTATGCAAGTTCAATTTAAGCAGGAGAAATCTGTACTTAACCTGTACAGAAGGCACATTAGACTTGTCAAACACTTTGTACACTGAAACTAGTTCACTATAAGTTAACAACCTGCAAGTCCAAAAATTAGTCTAAACCTCCAACTCTCTACAGCCAACAGGCCCCATTTTAACAATGCCCAAGCATGCTTAACTGGTGAGGAGAGGCTGAGCGTCCAGCACGAGACCCAGTCTGGATGCCCATCACAGGTCTAGTGGGCATGATGCAGGCCAGGGTCTGCAAGCCTCATGTGGGTCCACCACTGTGGTCACTCTGGGCCACTGGTGCCACCTCTGATACACAGGCTCCACTGCCCACATCTGGCCCATAGGAGAGGCTAGACTAGGCATGGGCACACAGCTATTGCTAAAAATACTTTTTTTTTTTTTTTTCTGAGTTGGAGTCTCACTCTGTCGTCCAGACTGGAGTGCAGTGGCCGCTCCCAGCCACCGCAGCCTCGACCTGCTGGGCTCCAGCGATCCTTCCTCCTCAGCCTTCCAAGTAGCGGGAATTACAGGCTTGCGCTACCATGCCCAGCTGATTTTTTGATTTATTATAGAGATGAGGTCTCGCTGCCCAGGCGGGTCTCGAACCCGCGGGCTCAGGCAATCCACTCACCTCAGCCTCCCAAAGGCGTGGGATTACAGGCTGAGCCACCGAGCCCAGCTAAAAAAAAAAATACTTTTGAGGACTTTTTTTTTTTGAGTCAGTCTCACTCCGTCACCCAGGCTGGAGTGCAGTGGCACACTCACAGCCACCACAGCCTTGAACTGCTGGGCTCAGGCGATCCTTCCACCTCAGCCTTCCAAGTAGCTGGAACTACAACACACACCACCACCACGCCCAGCTAGATTTTTGTGATTTATTGTAGAGACGAGGTCTTACCAAGTTGCCCGGGCTGGTCTTGAACCCTCAGGTTCAGGCAATCCTCTCGTCTTGGCCTCCCAAAGGGCTGGGATTACAGGCTGAGCCATCCCACCTGGCCTTTTTGAGGACTTTTAAGAAGCTAAGAATATGTTGCTCTGGAAGCTCCCACAATCTTTGTTGCTTTCTTTTCTTTTTTTTTTGAGTTGGAGTCTCACTCTGTCACCCAGACTGGAGTGCAGTGGCCGCTCCCGGCCACCGCAGCCTTGACCTGCTGGGTTCTGGCAATCCTTCCATCTCAGCCTTCCAAGTAGCTGGAACTACAGGCGTGTGCCACCACGCCCGGCTCATTTTGATTTATTGTAGAGATGAGGTCTCACCAAGTTACCCAGGTGGGTCACGAACCCACAGGCTCAGGCAATCCACTCACCTCAGCCTCCCAAAAGTGCGGGATTACAGGCTGAGCTACCGAGCCCAGCTCTTTCTTTTTTTTTTGAGTAGGAGTCTCACTCCATTGCCCAGACTGGAGTGCAGTGGCATACTCACCAACACCCCAGCGTCGACCTGCTGGGCTCTGGCAATCCTTCCGCTTCAGGCTTCCAAGTAGCCAGAACTACAGGTGTGCGCTACCATGCTCGGCTAACTTTTTAAAATTTTTTTTTTTTTTTTTTGAGTTGGAGTCTCACTCTGTCGCCACCGCAGCCTCGACCTGCTGGGCTCCGGCGATCCTTCCGCTTCAGGCTTCCAGGTAGCTGGAACTACAGGCACACGCTACCACGCCCAGCTAATTTTTTAATATATTTATTGTAGAGATGAGGTCTTGCCAAGTTGCCCAGGCGGGTCTCGAACCCGCGGGCTCAGGCAATCCACTCACCTCAGCCTCCCAAAGGCGCGGGATTACAGGCTGAGCCACTGAGCCCGGCTTTTTAAAATTTTTTATTGTAGCAACGAGGTCTCACCAAGTTGCCCAGGCTGGTCTCAAACCTGCAGGCTCAGGCAATCTACTTGCTTCGGCCTCCCAAAGTGCTGGAATTACAGGCTGAGCCACCGAGCCCAGCCGGTTGCTTTCTTAAGAACAGTTTTCAGCCAGACATAGTGGCTCACGCCTGTAATCCCAGCACTTTGGGAGGCTGACTTGAGAGGATTGCCTGAGTTCATGGGTTCAAGACCAGCCTGGGCAACATGGTGAGACCTCGTCTCCACAATAAATAAAAAAAAGTAGCTGGGCATGGTAGCACACATCTGTTGTTCCAGCTACTTGGAAGGCTGAGGCGGAAGAATCATCTGAGCACAGGTCAAGGCTGCGGTGGTTGTAGTTCCAGCTACTCAGGAGGCTGAGGGAGGGAGAAGGATTACCTGAGCCCAGAAGGTGGAGGCTGGGGTGAGCTGTGATTGTACCACTGCACTCTAGCCTGGGTGACAGAGTGAGACTCCTCAACTCAAAAAAGGAGTGCAATTTAAAAGAGATTAAATAAAACCAGACCTAGTTAGTTTACATATTAATCTCATTAGCTCTTAAGTAAAGCCTGATCAAATAGAGTCAATCGATTATTTTCTAAGGATTACATCCTACCCTTTTGATTAAATTAGGACTGAATAACTCCTGGGTGATGAGATTTCTTTTTTAGCCAGGGCAGATATAAAATAAGCCTAGAATTTAAAGCATCTGTACTAATATTCAAGATTCAATGATGAATGTCACAGTAAGAACCAAAGCCAGCTAGGCCTGGTAGCGTGAGCCTGTAGTGCCAGCTACTTTGGAGGCTGAGATGGAGCATTGCTTGAGCCTGGAAATTCCAGTCCAGGCTGGACATAGACACACAGAAAACCCTGACTCTTTAAAAAAAAAAAAAGTTAGGCATGGTGGCTCACCCCTATAATCCCAGCACTTTGGGAGGCCGAGGTGAGAGGACTACCTCAGCCCATGTGTTCGAGACCAGCCTGGGCAACTTGGCGAGACCTCATCTCTACAATAAATCAAAAAATTAGCTGGGTGTGGTGGCGCATGCCTGTAGTTCCTGCCACTTGGAAGGCTGAGGAGGAAGGATTGCCTGAGCCCAGCAGGTCGAGGCTGCAGTGGCTGTGAGTATGCCACTGCCCTCCAACCTGGGTGACAGAGTGAGACTCCAACTCAAGAAAAAAAAAAAAAGAGGCTGGGCACAGTGGCTCATGCTTGCAATCTCAGCTATAATCAGCACTCTGGGAGGAGGAGGCAAGAGGATCACCTGAGCCCAGGGGCTCAAGACCAGCCTGAACAACTTGGTGAGACCTTGCCTCTACAGTAAAAAAAAAAAAAAAAAAAAATCAGACGGGCATGGTGGTACACACCTGTTGCCCCAGCTACTCAGGAGGCTGAGGAGGAAGGATCATCTGAGCCCAGCAGGTCAAGGCTGCAGTGGCCATGAGCATGCCACTGCACTCCAGCCTGGGTGACAGAGACTCCAACTCAAAAAATAAAATAAAAAATAAAGCCGGGAGTGGTGGCTCACGCCTGTAATCCCAGCACTTTGGGAGGCAAAGGCAAGAGAGCTGCCTGAGCCCAGGGATTGAGACCAGCCTGGGCAATATGACGAGACTTCATCTCTCAATAAATAAAAAATTAGCCGGGCATAGTGGCACATGTTTGTAGTTCCAGCTATGTGGAAGGCTGAGGCAGAAGGATCACCTGAGCCCAGCAGGTCAAGGCTGTGGTGGCCGTGAGCATGCCACTGCACTGCAGCCTGGGCGACAGAGTGAGACTC